GGAAAAGAAGAAGTTTTAAACAGGTCAGAGACCCGCTCTAAGATGGATAGTTTGTTTATTTGCAAGCAAGTGAAACCAGCAGCTAAACAAGCAAAAGAAAAGAACACATGAAGGACATGCAGACACTGCTGAATACCAGCTCCACCACCTTTGTTATTTGTCATCCTTACTCCTTACTTAGTATTTATTCACTGACAATTAGGATCTCTGGGTTTTTAAGTCTGTACCTAATACTGCATATTCAAACTAACATATTAGTAAACAACATAAGTTGGTCAGCCTTTGAGTGCTTGGGAAAGGAGGAATTTTCATGACTTTACATTAAAAGTTTCTTCCAATTTACATAAAAAGCTGAGCAAACAGATTGATGCTTTTCAACAGCACAATTTAGCAAGCCAGGTGTCACCCTGAAATCTAAGGAAGCGGGTACACAATGTCCTTTCCTTCCTTTACTCACCAGAATGCAACCCTGCTAGGGGTTATATCCTTGGCTAATAAAAACATTTATTCTATCCTCATAGCTACTGTACTGGCTCATGCATTCCAGTCTCTACAGGCTTCCTTCAGGTCCATTAGGTGCATTTCCAAGTGCGGATGAACACTTCTGTCACTATCTCACCTCCCTACAGCACAACAGCTCTCAAAGCCAACTTGTCAACAACTATTTAGACACGGACCTTGGGTTTAAACTACTGAAAATTGTCTCATGGCTCAGCAGTCCAGTCCTGCCTCCAGCCACAAGTATTCAAGTCGTACACTCGGCTCTGCAAGACAGCCAAGCGGCATCTCCAAACAGCTACTCCTTTTGCATCTACCCAGCCAAGGTACAGGCTATTGCAGAAATCAGCTGGTTAGCCACCTTCCTCTAGTTTGCAGCTGCAACCTAGTCATAGTCAATTTATGAGTCTCTGTTCTCTAATAAAAAGTATATAAATTTAAATAGTTCTCCTTTCCTGGAGATTTATGGAAGGGTCTATAACCTCTTCCTTAGCCCTGCTTTTTAGACCTGCTAAAGACCCCAAACTGCAGGTTTTCTTAGATAACAATGCTCCACTGACCCCACTAGCAGCTGTTCTTAACTACTGTACTAGTTCAAAGGCAGTTCTGAATACGGATACGCAAATTTTAAACTGTTCCAGCTTATGTATCTAGTTTCTTCTACAGTGATACTAACATTTTGCTATCTCTGCCGTTAAGCATTTTGTGTCTCACCCTAGAATTGAATTCTTTGTTTTTACAGCCTTAGGTATTTACGGCTTAATCACCTACGATCAACTAAACCCGTGGGTCTTTCTCACCCACTGTCATTTTAACTACTGAGCTCAGTGTTATTAGTCATTAAGTGCTCTTTGTACTATTAAGTTCTCATTTCTACAGCTCCAGTCACTTTCAAGGCAATCCAATTCTTGTGCAATACTCTGCGATGACAAGGCTAATGTCACATCCTCTGCAAATTTATTCAGTACACCCTTACAAGGCATTAGTGTAAATAGCATTAATAACCAGCCCCAGAACAGGTTCTTAAGGAATTCCATCAATGACCTCTTTTGTGACAGAGTCCAGCTCTCAATCATGTTGTATTCTTTCCTTTAGCCAGGCCTTCACCTGCTCTTTACCAGATCTTGTTCTAATTCTTTACAAATTAACTATGTTTATTGTAGTTCCAACATAGGAACTGCCTTACTAAAACACAGAGGTATTAGACATGGATCAAGTCCTTCGCTGATTCTTCAATTAAAAATAAATACATAAAATTCTCAAGGACAGGTATCCAACCTGCTATCCACCTCTGTCAAATCACAATGCATTCAATCCCGCTTTCCATGGTTTTAATTTTCCTTTCCTTCAAAATATACGCCACAAATCTGTGTACCGAGTTCACATTATGGATCGCCAACATAACCTGGCCTTCCTCATCTCCATCTGCAAGAACAACTGCCATCAGTGCTATCCCAACTTAGCAATATAGCCCCAAATGTTTCATTTTAATTGCTGTTTCTTTAGAACTCCAGAAGGACTACTTGCATACCCTCTCATTATGAGCCCATGGAGCTTCAAGTTGTGCCTTTTTTTTTTTTTGGTCAGCATGTACTTCCAGTCTACTCATCCCATTTCCCCTAAGCACATGCTTTTCAAATCCTGTATTTGAGGCACAGCTACTATTTCAACCTGTTTAGGTGATCCCTGTAGTACTTGGTTTCAAATGCCTCTGTTGTACATGGGATAAAGACCCAAGGAATTATAACTATGTCCATTGTTTACTACTGACCAGTTTTCTTTGCCAAATTAGAACACTGGGGGTGTT